GCCCTACCTCACCGAGGTGTTTGTGAAACTAAATACCCTGAAGCCTGGAAGGTGCTCAGATACTACAATGATGGAGGCTGTATAAGTATCACAGATAAAGACAGTGTGTAGCATTGGACCAAGGCTAGATTGCTTGGGGATCCTCCTAGATTAGAAGCATTTGAAAATAATTTTTTTTCTTCAGATTTTCTCTCTCTTGTTGGGTCCTGACCCTGCACTGACTCAACACGTGGAACGTTCTGCTCTGAGGAGTCCCGCTGAAGTCGTTCCAGGCTGAGCAGCCTTACTGTTGGACAGATTCATAAGCAAGTCCGTCCTTGCAGCATCAGGGCCTTGATATTTGAGTCTTTTCGGCAAGGAAGAGTGACTATGCTGCTGTCAAAGCCCAGACTAAAACGTCTTAAAAACTCACTAGGTCCCGTTGCAGTAGTTGAGGGTGTTGTGTAGCTACAGTGGGTACAAAATGTTCAGCCAGATGTGACTTTCAAGTTGATGCCTCTTTAAGACTCACCACATTTGTCCATATAGGAGCCTGTTCTTTACCATTGCTATATTCACCTGCAGTTGCTTGAGGAGCAGCGGTGGGGTTTGCAGCATCTGCTAAAGGTGTGTGGACTTTTCACCTACAACATTACAAAAAGGTCAATTTATTGGAAAAGTTTTGAGGAAAACCAGTTCTGCCCTCTGAACGGAGGCTGAAAGTCTTTCTGACTATTCTGTTGTCCATCCTTTTTTTTTTTTTTTTTTTTTTCCCCCCCCTCCCTGGGGACAGTGGAACCTTGAAATGTCAGGTGCATAGTGCTCACATTGGAGGAAAGCCCCAGCCATGGTTGAGAAGTGGGCTAATGAAGCAAGATCTGTGAGCACACTGACTAGCATTTGCTAAGACTTTTCCTGATCCCCTGGCCTCGCAGTGCATTTGCGTGTGTGAGAATGAAATGCACCAACTCTTTAAAAAACAATCTTAACCAGGCTAAGGAATCAGGGGTGAGAACTCTTCTAGCTCAACTATGCAACTTGCACATTTTCATTTACAAAAATCTTAGTTTTTGTTGCCAAGATACAATATAACAGGGGTGGCCAAACTTACTGACCCTCCAAGCTGCCTATGACAGTCTTCAGAAGTCCCAGACCCGGGGCTCACCTGCCAGGCTCGGGGCTTCTGCTGAAGGCCTGAGCCCAGTATGCATGCCCCGCAGGCCTGAAGCCCCGAAACCCCCACCCTGCAGAGGCAATGTGTGGTCACGTGCCCACCCAGATTTTTGCCAGGGTTTGCTGGCCCTGCTCGGTCATGTGGTGCTGCCGGGTCCTTCCTGCATGGCAGCTGCTGGAGCTGGCAAGCTGGGAGTTGCAGCCCTGGGGAGAGGCCAGGCAGCAGCAAACAGCTGAGAGGTGCAGGGAGAACTGCTGCCTCTCCTCGTGGAGCTAAAGCCACAGCACCCTCCTTGCAGCTCCCAGCTGTTTGCTGCTGCCTGTTCATGCAGAGCTAACACCTGAGAGCTACAGGAAGGTTCCCTAGAGGGTGAAAGGGGGTGTGTGCCTGGGAGGGGATGACTCAAGCTGGGGGGGCAAAACTTTAGATTGTAGGCCCCTGGCAACGGCAGGCACTAGTCGTCCTCTGGCAGATGCTCCTAGCCCCACCACCTGCTGCAAGGCAAAAGCCCCGAGTTCCTCCCCTTCCCAGGCTGATAGGTGGAGAATGATGTGAGGGAGGGGGGCTCCGTGAGCTGCACTTTAACTGTAAAGGAGCCACATGTGGCTCGGAGAGCTGCGGTTTGACCACTCCTGCAATATAACCTAAGGTACATAAGAATAAGAACAGCCATACGGGGTCAGACCAAAGGTCCATCTAGCCCAGTGTCCTGTCTTCCAACAGTGGCCTGTGCCTGGTGCCCCAGAGGGAATGAACAGAACAGGGAATCATCAAGTGATCCATCCCCTGGTGCCCATTCCCAGCTTTTGGCAAACAGAGTCTAGGGACACCATCCCTGCCAGAACTAAGCACAGTAACACTAAAACAGATACACGGGGGTTACCATCTGCTCCTCTGCTCTAATGTGGTACATTTCCCTGTGCAGCCCAACATGACTTTAGCCTTTGTAGTTGCTGTATAACAGTGTTTAGCTATATCTCTGCCCACTCTCAGCATCAGTGCTCCTCATTTTCTTCCTCCCAGGGTGTACCTGTGTTTCAGATTATTTCCCCCAAATGTATGAGCTGCATTTTTTCTATGATAAATCTCATTTGGTTATTTCCTGCCCATGTTCCTAACCTCCAAAAGGGCACAGAGAAATTCTCTGTCCTTTGTGGTATCTACACATTTAGCATGCTTTCCACTAAAGTTGGTAAAAGGTTCAGAAGGAATCGTTTGTACAATGTGCCTGTCTAATCTGTGTAACACTTTATTTTGCACAAGATGACAAATTATTCCACATTAATGGTGCTGCGAGACTACTGGAAAAAGTGAGCTTCTTGTGAAATAAAGAAAAATGCTAACAGAAAATAACACAAAGAGGTGGTGGTATTGCTCCCCTAAAGTCACGTGCTCTCATGGATGAAGCCCAGGGTTAGGACGCAGGAGCTCAGTTCCTACCCCTGCTGCTGCCTGGCCTTAGTCTGCACATACAGCACTTCACAGACCTTAATCGGGCCCATTTTACAGATGGGGAAATTGTGGTGCAGAGGTGAGGTGACCTGCCCATGGTCACAGCATGTCAGTGTCAGAACCAGGGTTTGAAGCCAAGTTTCATATTTAGGTCCTAGCCTGGTCCACTGGAGCAGAGCATCACCTCGGAGGTGGTACCCCGTCTGTGCAACAGGAGCCCCCTCTATTACCCTGAAGTTTCCACCATGCTCCGTGTCTGTCAGCTTCTCCAAGGCAAGGTACAGCCTCTGAACTCCTCCCCCAAGCCCCTCCCCAGTCCACAAGCAAGGCCCCCTCCACTCTTGCCATGCTGCTTACAGAGGAGCAGGTTACCTAGGGTTGTTCCCTTTCCCCACCCTGTCTGTGAGGCCATCTGCTTAAAATGAGTTCCTAGGAGCCAGAATGGACTCTTCCCCTAGCATGTCATGAGTGCTACTGGAACCAAAGGGCAGTCACAACACTACCGGGGTTAGTGTGGCTACAGCCCCCCTCCCAGAAGGTCGGTGGTATCCTGTCCTTTTTACAGACCCCACGGGTGAATGATTTGCCCTGTGCTGTGGCCAAACAAAGTCCTCTATCCCACTACTCATGCTGCTAGAGACCCCACACACACTATCCAGATGGATTTTGGGGTGGAATGGAGGCCCAGGCTGCCCTCCCTTTGGGAAAGGTTTTCCACCTGCAGAAAGGAACCGCAGCAGCCAGCTACGCTACAAGGGTCCAAGCCCAGGAGGAAGCAACAGGCATGGAAGGTGACTCATTACACATAAAATTAATTTATTTTCCCTCTGTTCATCGGCTGTGGCTCGGCCACTGGAGCAGACTGTATCCCGACAGCCCACTCTCACCAGTGCTGCCTGAGCAGACGCCTCCCAGCTCCATTCCCATGTGCAGCAGCAGCCCAGATCTGCCTGGAGTGGGAGGAGTGGGGGCGGGGAGGGTCAGTCAGGTGCCAGCGGCAGAGGCCACGATGCTGGCGTCCTGTGGGCCACATGGAGCCGCAGCGGTGGTTGGGCTACAGCTCAATGCAGCGTGCTGTTGCTCTGCTCCTCGAAGGCCATCTTGCCCAGCAGTTGGCTTTCCAGCTCCACATTGCTCACTGGCAGCTGGAAGAAGTTCATCTCGGCTGCCAAAGCAGCCATGGCAGAGGGGTCCTGGCCAAACTGGGCCCGAAGCATCATGTCCATTTTCTCCAGGCGCCGCTTGAGCCTCTTGGCCTCGCGCTCCCGGATGAGCCGAGCCTGCCGCTTCTCCGGGGTCTCATTAGCACGTTTCAGTCTCATGGCCTCCCGGTCCCTCTGCAGCCGCCTCGCCCGCTGTTCATCTGTCTCTTGCATGCGTTGCAGGCGTTTAGCCTCTCGGTCCCGCATGCGCCTCACCTCCCGCTCCTCTGGCGTCTCGTTGTCCCGCCGGCTCTTCTTGGCCGTGCGCTCCCGCTCCAGGCGCTGAAGCCGCACTTCCAGTGGCTCGTTCTGCCGGCGAAGCGCCCACTTGCGCACGCCAGGAGCCTGTGCCTCCAGCAGCTTCCGATAGGCAGCACAGTTGTTGCACACTAGGAGGATGCCCGCAGGATACACAGGGGGGTTAAAGGCAACGTCCTTCTCCTCAGCACCGGAAGGGCCCTCGCTGTGCGGGGTGGGCAAGGAATCTGCTATCACTTCTGGCAGTTTCTCACTGGAAAGCAGAAAGAACAGAATCAAGGATCTCCTGCTGACACAGTGTGCCCTGCAGGGAGCCCCCCGCACAGGGGAGAGGCAATGGCCCAACCACTAACAGCCCACGATGGAGGTGTGCATCAAGGGCTTTGGTGATGTTAACATACCTGGACACATTTGCCAGGAGCCCCCACGTAAAGGGTGTGGGGACAATGTCAGCAATGAATTAAGGCTGGGGAGACTGAATTCAGGAATTACCCAGTTAGCCGCTCAGATGCTCCAGCCCTGGCACCTTTGGATTTCATGCTTCAGTTGTAATTCTGCTACTGAACAGCTCATCCACCAGAGCCAGGGTTACCTGAGTCCAGAGCCTCAGAGCCACCTGCCCTGCCCGGAGACTCAGTGCCCACGACGATTCCTCCAGGAAGGACAAAGGGCAGGGGAACAGCATGGGACTGAGCTTGGCTCTAGTGCTCCACCAGACACTGGAATTTCTAGAGTAAAGGAAACAACACTGCTTTCCTGTAGGGCTCTGCGTGGCTTGGTCTAGGACTTAGGGAGCCAGTTCTAGACAGCATGGTCAGGGAGTTCTAGCCCTGAGCACAGACTCTGGATCTGCCTGTGGCGAGGGACAGCTGGAAGTAGGCTCCCTTGGGGAATAGTTCCAGCTCTCCCTCAAGTGCAGGGTAGCAGCAGTTAATGTTTTACTCCAGTCTCCAAAGGCTGAGGTGATCAATCCGGTGGCTTCACCTGAAGCAGCCCTGCTAATTGTGACTCTCGGGGCCTGACATGTCTGCATGCAACCCCAACCGAAGCGGGAGGAAAGTCTCACCTGTTGAATGTGGCATGGCTGGTGAAGTGCGCCCCACACACTGCACAGTTTGACAGTTGGTCCTCTGAGTGGATCAGGAGGTGTCGCCCCAGGGACCCTGGGGAGCTGAGGGCTCTGCCACACACCGGACACATGTAGCTCTTGGCGCTGACCACAGCTGCAGTGTGCTGCAAAACAAGCCCTAGGTTTTCAGTGACCAAACTGCCCAGAAAGCCTGCTCTGCCTGTTAAATGCTCGGTGGGTATGGAGAAATCTTTCAGCTCCTCCCCGTGGTTTGGTACTTGGCTTGCCTCTGTTGCTACCACCAGAACCTTTGTCTGTAGGTTCCCGGGCAAAGCCCAAGTCCTTGAGAATGAACTGCAGTGGTAGGCATGTTGGTTATGGGAGGTGAAGCTTGTTTACGGCTGCATGTCAGTGCATGAGGAGGCAGTTAGGGCTCAGGCCCTTGGAGCGGAAGGGCCTGGAAAAGTCTACTTGCAGTATTCACTGCTGCAGCTGAGGGAGCGCTTCCTCTGTATAAAGCGTGATCGAGTTCACTTAGGGAAGGTGCCTGCAAACATGTGCATGCAAAACCAGCCTCACGTAAACGGCAACTGGGAACTGAGACTGGGTTAGAATGAAAGGCCTACAGAAGGGGTGACTTTTTTCTGTCATACCAAAGGGGCTGCCCTTGGCTGCTGGTTTGGGGCAGGAAAGTGTTTCATTACTAGTTGTACAAACACTAACCTGGTGGGGGGCCCCAGCAAGGGCTGGCCTGGTGCAGAGCTGCAGCTCTCTGTGAAAGAGCAGCTGTTTCGATAGGTGGGACCCATGACAGGACTGGCTAGGCCAGCAGGATGGGTCTTGCCCCAATGCACACTGCAAAGCAGTTTCTGTGCCTAGTTTGAAAACAGCTGGAGATTCCCAACCGGGGCTGAAATTAGCTGAGGTCAGCCCCTAGAGTTGTGAGACGGGGCGCGGCAGAGAGGCCACGTTCCAGAGCGCTTGGCTGATTCCACTATTCTGGTTTGCAGCGTCTACAGTCACCTTCAATTACTTTCCAGCTGGAAATGTGTCTTTGCTACTGACAAAATCAGAATCAGGATAACCCTGCAGTCCCTCCTCCAGTGTCAAGTCTGAACGCGGGGCCAGCAAAGGGCTCCTCCAGGTCCTTCTATCACTTCAGTTCCTTTCACCCCGAGAGAGGGCTGAGCCCTGGTTATCTAAGTTCATAAGGAAAACGTCTCCTACCTGGTACACGTGAGCAATGAGCTGCTCTCTGCTCCCACATTCCAGCTGGCAGAGTGGGCACTGCGACAGTCCCAGCATGGGGGCTGTGTTCAAATCCTCAGTCACCTAAGAACAAGGAGAAGCCAATTCAGTAAGAGTCAGGAAAAGAGATTTCCTTCTCGCAGCCCACCCCACTCTCACGTGCACTGCAGCAGGACACTCCATAAACCCTTCTGCCTCACATCACCTCACTGCCTGCACAGCTCGGACAATATGCCCGATCTCGCTGCGTTCTGACCCGGGTCCTTGGCAGGGGGGACTATTCCCAGCTCCTCTGTGCAAACAGGAGGAAAAAGCCGACCCCACACAGAGCTTCTATAGCCCACAAGGCAGAAGAGTCAGAAGCGCCATGGAGTCCACAGGTTTCTTGTGGGCACTGCATAGGGTCGGCTTTTTCCTCCTGTTTGCATGGCGGAGGCACTGGAACAGTTCCCCCACTGCCAAGGACCCAGGTCAGCGAGGTGTGAGGTAGGCCATGTTCTCTGACCTGTGCCGGGCAGACAGGTGGTACAAGGCAGAAAAATTGGACATGGAAGACACTTGGGACTGGCTGACAAGGTGAGCGAGGTAATATCTTCACCCACCCTGTCCCTCTCATATTCTGGAACCTAGACGGCGATAACTGCACTGCGTGGCCTGGGCAGCAATCAACAGCAAGGGTGGAGGGAAGTGGATCAGAGAGACAGCAGAGGACTCCGTCCAGTGCCATGTCCTGGGAGTGGCTCACTTGAGCAGATGTAGCTCAGATTCCCTCTGCCCCCTCTTCTGTCCCCTACCCCAGAGCGGCTGCTCCTGGCAGTCCGAGAGCTCCCAGAACAGTAGCCTACATGCCTTGGCCCGTGTTTGGAGAAGGCAAGATACATAGCACCACTCCCCATAAAGAAAACTGAGCCAGACCTGAGTAGGTGCCCAAGCACCTCCATTCTGGGGAGCTGCCAGAACGTCCTGCAAGGGAGTGAACTGCTTGCCTCATTTTCTCCAATCCGTTGGTTTCCAGCTACAGGCTGCTCTGCATTTTCTAATTCCTTTTTCACTTTCACCATTGTGCCATCCTCCTCCGAAGTGTGCGAAGAGACTTCATCCTGTGTGGTCTCCTCTTCCTCACCCTCGCTGTCACCTGGAACACACAAACCAATCACTTGAGGCCCTACGCAGCAGCTTAAGGCCAGCCCCTAAAACAGTCAATAGCTACAGGACTCATCCAAGTATACACACACTCTGCACCCTCCAACCATCCCCACAGTCAGTCTCCTCCATCCATTACCCGAAGGTGCTGAACTCACTGCTGCTGGAGTCCTGATCCTGCAGCTGGTGAATTGTTGGCCGCTGGTCTCCAAAGGCTCCAGGAAAGTCACTTTTCATCATGGCCTGGCGGGCTTGCTCCTCCAGCCCTGCGAAGACCTGCTCCCCTGGCAGCCACAAAGACAGAACAGTCAGAGGCTGCGTTTCCAGCGCACTCTTCAGCATGTTCTTCCAGGAGCTACATTCAGGCACCAAGCTGCTCAGACACACCTGCTCTTATCAGCCTCAAGCAAGAATCTGTTGAAAGCTCTGCACTGTCCTGCCCCAGGGCACCAACACCCTTGTGCCTGCTTAGCATGGGGCTAATTGTTAGAAGCTGGTAGTGACAAACTCCTGCCCCCAGTCACCCCTCCCCACCAAAAACACACTGCGCCCTGCCCATCCTCTCCCTACATCCCCGGCCTGGCACACAGAGCCGACAGAAACCCTCTTCTAGCCCAAGGTATGCTCACGCCACAGCCAGATGGGCCCGACAGAGTGTGCTTTCACCACATGGCCACGCTGCCAGCAGGGGGACTGATGTAAATAATTGGTTTTTAATCTTGTTTTGTATTTGTAATTAATTTTTTTTTTAAAAAAAGGTTGATTCTCAGTGGTTGGTAACCATTGAAACGTTGATTTGCAGCTAAATGTAGCTGTTCCACTAGATTCGGCAGGTTTCTGCTAAGCAGCAGGATGTGCTCTCTTTACACATTTAAGCAATTTTACAGCTTAGTCAGATTCTTAATGGTTACATGTTTTATATTTTGTTAGCAAACGGCAAGTGCTACATTTCTTGGATGATCTGTTTTCCTGGTGAGCTGTGTCAAGCTGCATTTGGATGGAAATTGGAATGCAATTACAAATGCACAGACTCAGCATTGTGACGTTGTTCTAAAAGACGCCGTATGTCCAGGGGGATTATTTTGGGGAAGTGCTGTGGCCTGTGTTATGCTGGCAGTAAGACTACTTGAGCACCGGGTCCCCTCTGGCCTTGGAAGCTAAGACTTGTTTCTCATTAGCTAAACAGAACTACCTGAAATGTGCTAGATACACTGGGAACAATGGATTTCTCAAACCCTGTTTGGCATCTCCACTGGGTCTATGAAAGGCCGTATTAGCGGCAGTTACTGCAGTGATCTGACCGGGGCCCAGAGCCACAAAAGCACTTACGTGCCTAAGCCTCAAGGGGACCTGCCCAAGTGCCGGGTTTGGCTCCACTGTGATCCACAAAACTCCCATCAAACTCTGTAGGTGCCTAAACTCACTTGGCACCAAAGTCTCTGCCTTGGGGCATGTGCACTGCTGTCTCCCACTAGGCGTCTGGGTGCCTGTCTCACACCCAGCCCCAGGGCGTTCCATGAACCAGGGGAAGAGAAAGGACTTGCACAGGGCTCTGCTACCGCTCCAGATAGCGCTCTCACCGCTGAGCTATGGGTTATTCTGATACGGGGCTGACTTGGTCGCCACAGATACTCCAGCAAGAGCATGGGAATGAGAGAGCTAACAGACCCTGGGCCACTCCCCCTGCTCCGATCACTCTTTCAGTATTTCTCCCCCACCAGTCTCCACTTTGTGTGACACCATGAGGTGCCTACCTCATTCCCGCAAGAAACCCCTTCAGCACCAACGCTGCCTGGCTGCAGGGTTCTGTTCCCGGCTCGCTAGCTGCAGCCTGGGCTGAGGCACCTTTCTCCAAAGAGGGATGGGGGCTTAGCACACACCCTTGCGCATCGCCCTTAGGCAGCCCCTTGCCTGGTGCGCTGGCTTCTGTGGCTCCCGTTCTTAGGCCTCTCTCGCCCCATGGATTGTATAGAGGCCCCGGCACCTAACTCAGCTCTACGGATCGCAGCCTTGGTCCTGTGCAGCGTGACGGAGTGTTGCAACCTCTCTGTCCCATTGTGAATCCCACTCATGGCGCTTCCCTGCCACGACACTAATGGTAGCCAGGCGCCTAAACACCTTGAGGATCTGGGCATCTGGCCTTCAAGATTTCAGAACCAGTAGCTCTCACCCACTCACACCTCATTTGTATTCATTGACTGGACGAGGAAAACAAACTTTCCTGCCAGTTCAACTCCTAGCTGGTGCTCAACTTTGAAGTCACTGAACTGAACTAGCTGAATAAACTGAAATGAAGAAAATATTCTCTCTGCACCTGTAGATGAGGCTGCTGCTGTCAAAAGCTAGTTTAGCATTAGACTCTGGTTCCCCATGCTTAGCCAGCAACTGCTACCAGTTCAGTGATAACTTTCCTTAACATTTCGGCAGCAAACAGATACGGCTTGAATGCTTTTTATTTAATTTAAACTATCTGAGTAGGTTATTGTAAGTTTAGGCCTCAATATACGTTATCATAATTCAAATAGGTTTATTTTTTAAAAGAAAATCTCTATTTAAATGCAAAATCTAACAAAAATAATATTTTTTTAAATGAAGGATTGATTTTTATCCACCCTGATTATCTGACAAAAAACATGCAAAAATGGAGTTAAGGTTGAGATTGCATATCAGTAATTTAGGGTAAAAGATGTCACAATAATGTTGTAATTAGCCCCAAATCAGGCACTATAAGCTCAGACGTTCAGAGTTAGGGTTACATTTAAAAGAACACCAACCATGATACGGTCTGGAAATGCACTGGTAGGGTCCCAACACAACTTTAACTTTGCCCTGCAGTGACCCTATGCAATGATCAGATCATTCTCAGAAGTGCCTTTTAATGCTTGAGATCACACATTAGATTAAATCAGTGGCTCTCAACCTTTCCAGATGACTGTACCCCTTTCAGGAGTCTGATTTGTCTTGCGTACCCCCAAGTTTCACCCACTTAAAAACTACTTGCTTACAAAATCAGACATAAAAATACAAAAGTGTCACAGCTCACTGTTACTGAAAAATTGCTGACTTTCTCATTTTTACCATATAATGATAAAATAAATAAATCAGAATATAAATATTGTACTTACAGTTCAGTGTATAGCATACAGAGCAGTATAAACAAGTCATTGTCTGTATGAAAGTTTAGTTTGTACTGATTTCGCTAGTGCTTTTTATGTTTCCTGTTGTAAAACTAGGCAAATATCTAGATGAGCTGATGTACTCCCTGGAAAACCTCTGTGTACTCCCAGGGGTACACATACCCCTGGTTGAGAACCAGTGGATTAAATAGATTGATTGTTAAAGACACATGATATTTTCTCGTTTATCCCCCTTCATGGTGTCACTAGGGGGCAGAGTTAAGGTTATTTGGGTGCCTTACCTGTGCATTTCCAGAACTTAACATGTTTAGCTGTCTCTTAAATTTAACCCAAAGTCTGAATTTCCTGGGTTTATAATGCCTGATTTTAGGGTAATTACAACATCCCTGTATATGTATTTTACCCTAAATTACTGTCATGCACCGTAACATGAGACCTTAACTCCATTTTAATCTAGCTTTTGTCTGTGAATTTCTTTGTTAAATTATTAAAAAGTTCCAAACCCAACAAAAATGCTTCCATGGGCTATTTCTAATGATTTGAAGTTGTTGTTGTTTTTCTAACTAACCTGTCAGGCCAGATTTACGGGTGTGCTCTGGCTGCTTTACATCACTATAGAGCAGTGCAAAGCAGCTGGGGCACAGTGGCTGGTTAAGCTGCGCTTACAGCTTCTTTGCATTGTCAGAGCAGCACAAAGCAGCTGGAGCGCATACCCTAGTGTTCCCCCCCCATCCTGTTTGCTACATTCTCCTATCCACACATGCCAAATTCATCTTCCCTGCAGTTCACCACATGCCCCCCGCCCAAACTCCTGTGTTTTCCTGTCCTCATCAGTTCTCCCTCCTAGCCTCTCAGCTGAGTAGATTTGATGTAACAGGTAGCTTTTGAAAATAAATATTTAGCACTGTCATTCTTTGTGTTATTCTTCATACCTGAAAAATTATCCTGCTAAGAAACTCATACACAGCTCCCCTTTTCAAAATGGCCTGTTCTCAACAGGACTGAGGACACTGGCTGCCCGCAGCAAATATGGTCACTGCCATCCTTTGTTCCCAATGGAAGTGAAGCCAAGCTGCCCTCCAGGAAAATGGTGACTCCCCATACTATCAGGAAGCAAAAATGCTAGGCAGCGGTAGGCATTTGTGCTAAGGACAGCCTCAGTGAGAACAATGGGAGATACTGGCCATTTTGAGAAGTGTATCTTAATTGAGGGCATGTCATGGCCTTAGTCCTACTGAGAATAGGAGATGGCAGCCATGCTGACATAGGGCAGTTCTTTGATTCATCAGCCTCTCTGTACAGAGAACATTAATCCTACACAAACTACTCATTGCCCCAGACCATGCTTCACCTCTCTGCCAATCTTGTGCAGATTTCGAGCTGAGATTGTTTGGGATGAACAAAAACCTGACACGAGGTGTTACATTTTTCAAGGGACTAATTTTTAAATCCATTTTAACCCAAACTAATTGTTGGCTTTATTTGTAAATACTCAGGAAATTCAGTAACAAACTCAGAGTAAATGCTGTAATTTTGGAGAAGATGCACTGTACATAAAGAAATTTAAGTGCAAAACTCGCTTTAAATCTGAAGCTATGGCTGGTGTCCCCATAGTTAAAAAACTTCATTGGGATAGCCACCATCATAAGTATCAATGACAGAGCATGTCCATATTAGGCAGCTGTTTCACTTACAGTTTTGTCCCACGTCCACACTTGCCCTGCCTTCTCACTACCTGTCCCACAGTCCCTGGCATGCTTGATGAAGCCGTGAGTTGTGAGAGTTCAAAAAGCCTTCAGCAATTCCAGGGGAATTATGGGAAAGGAGGTCAAATTCCCATAATCCCCTGGTAAATTCCCAAAAGCCTCTGGTTGCCAGCATAATTTCCTAATTCTTTTGTCAGAAATGGAGCCGAGGCTGCACGCTCAACAAGGAAGGTTTCTCCTGGAGTTTTTGGAAAGCAATTATTAGGTGTGTGAGGCAAGGTAGCAAAGGATAGTGTGGTGGGGCCTGTGTCTGAAAGCAGCAGTTCCCAGTCACGTACACCTTCACCCAGTGGATGATTCCAAATAGTGCTGGAGAATGATTTCGATTGGGTGGAGTGCTGCTTCTGTCCTTTTGAGTCCCAATCTCAACCTCAGACTGGC